TGGTGTATTGTTTTTTGTGGGGGGGGGGGGGGGCTGTAAACGGATGTTTGTCCCGCAGTAATAATCTGGAAGAGAATTTTAGAGACAACAAAAGACTTACCCCTCCAGCTCGGTGATCTTCTTGTCTTTGTCATTTTTCTCATTTTCCATTTCCCGGAGGATCTCTAGCAGGCGGTCTACCTCGGCTTGTGCTTTCCCAGAATCCTCTTTGTGGCGGGCAACTTCCTGTTCCAGGCTCTTAATGCGCTCTGCCAGCTCAGTGTTGGCCTGAGCCTCCAGAGCTGCATTCTGAGCCTGAAAATGAGCAAGTAGAGGGAAGAGCAGGATGTTATGTGTTTTTGCTGCGGCCTGCTATGTTATCATTATATGAAACAATATCCTCACAAGAGGAACAACAGTGTTTTTGAATGGTATGCCATAGGCGAGATGGCCATCTTACTCTCTTAAGGTGGTTATCCAGTTTGAGACACTCCTCCCTCTTCTGCTCAAGGGCGATCTCCAGACTTTTAAGTTTGGAGTCCTTTTTCAGGCCAGAGGAGGCCAGCGATGACGCATGCTCCTTCAGGTCCAAAATAGACGTCTGAGCACACAAACCAAAGCAGAAACAAAGCATTTCCAACTCATAATGAAAGAAACTTGAAGTTGAACTGTTTAAGAAATTGGATGGTTATTACCTCTCTGTCTGACAGGTCCCCTTGCAGTAAGCTCAGCCTCTCCTTCAACTCTTTAAGTTCTTTCTTGGTGCACTCCAATTCTTCCGTCTTCTCTCGGTCATCTCTGTCTCGCTGCTCCTTAAGTCGCTCTATGATTCGTTCCTATCACATACAGTAAATAAAACAAACACATTCCAGACATCCATGTATAAAAATAGATTGTATTTATCTTCCAAAATAACTGCGGGGTCCAGTTTTGCAGCATGCAATATAAACTCATATTATGGGTTGAACTTCACATTTTCAGTAGTCATCGTTCAAGTGTGGATAGTCAAGTCATTGACTAATCAATGTCATCATTTATATTTTTGAAGTTGTCAATTTTTTATTTATCCTTTTTTTTTTGAAGGCGGGGGGTTAATCAGTGCCACCTAGTACCAAATGCCAGTCCACAGTCAGGGAATGGAGGATCACTGGATGAAATGATTCTAACTTGCTCTTTATGTATTAATAGATGATACAAAGCACATCCATACAGTAGGGGGCTGCTTATGTACTTATTTGCAGAGTGCACAGGTGTGTAGTAAGACATTCATTCATCAGCTACCTTTTCAGCGAGAGACTCCTCCAGAGTGGTGAGGGCAGTGTCTGTGTTGGATGTGTCAGCCTGCAAAGACTTTACTCTCTCCTTGAGGCTGCTCATTTGCTTTTCCTTGTCCCTCAGCTGCTCCTGCAGGTTCTCAATCTTCAAAGGGAACATATACATGTACAGTCAGCAACGGCATCAAAATGTAGCACAGGAGTGTCCAAAACGATGTCCAAGAGGTCACTTTCAGTTCGCTGTCTTTTTTTTTCCCCAAAAAAATAAAGTACAATATAGAAAAGGAATATATAACTGCTTGATAGAGGGTTTTTAGTGCATTTAATAAATTCAAGGTCAAGAGTGTGTATGTATGTATACTGTATGTGTGTGTGTGTGTGTGTGTGTGTGTGTGTGTGTGTGTAAGTAACAAACACACACACATGTGTTAAATTTTCTGTATGCGGCCATTGGAGGAAAAAGCTTGGACACGCCGGTGTTGAAGATGCACTTTTTTAGATGTTAATACTATATACATTAAGATCAAATCACCTTCTTCTGAAGCACGTTGACTTTGCGCTCCTTCACCTCAAGCATGTCCTTGAGGTCGTGGATCTCTCCACTGAGCGTGCCTTTCTCTTCTGACACTTCTTGGATCTGCTTGCTCTTCTTATTCAAAGTGGCCTCCTTCTCTTCCAAGCGGAGGCGCAAGGCATCCACCTGACCAGTAAACAAATAGACCACTCACTACAAGCAGTAACTGTAGTGCTCACATGAAGATGTTAAAGAAATAACTGACCCTATGGTCTTGCTGTGTTTTCAACAAGTTAACATATTTTCAGCTAGTCGTCGGCATACGTGCATATTGAATAACCTAATTCCTGCAAATCCAAGGCGCCCCTGTAGTCAGAGGTAACAAAGAGGTGGAATCAGCAAACCAGGGATGAGCTGCAGAACTGCTTTGAAACTACAGACTGGAATGCGCTCTGTGATCCACATGGGTACAACATTGACAACCTCATGGGCTGTATCACTGAATACATCAATTTCTGTGAGGATATCGTCACTCCGGCGATTGCCTGGCAACCAGTTCAGGGTGTCCCCCCACCTAATGGCCAAGGACAGCTGGGATGGGCTCCAGCACGCCCCGCGACCCTTGTGAGGATAAGCAGATCAGAAAATGGATGCATGGATGGACATCGTCACTCCAACCAGGACAATTCACTGCTTCCCCAACAACAAATCTTGGATCACCTGCGACCTGAAGTTCCTCCTTAATCAAAAGAAAAGGGCCTTCGGATCTGGGCGTTAGGGGGAGTTAAAGACGATCCATCCAGTGTAAACTATCCAGTGTAAACTCAAGGGGAGCCTGAGTGCGGCCAGATGTTTTTATAGTCGGAAAATGGAACTCAAACTCCACCAGAATCACACAAAAGAGGTGTGGAGTGGTATGAGAAAAATCACAAGTATGAACTCTGAAAGACAGCAGTAGGGAGGCAACCCTGGAGAGTGCAAAACAGCAGAATTGCTTTTTCAATATATTCAGCTCTGGACTCCCTGTCGTCCCTATGCTCCTCCTGTGGATGATGCTGTCACCTATCTGATGTATTGTGCTTACTCACATCTGGATGATAGTGGTGGCGCAGTGAGGGTCATGTTTTTTGTATTTCGGCACTGCTTTCAATACCATCCAAACTGTTCTGCTTGGTAAGAAGCTGCTTTGGATGGGTGTCTCATCACGCTGCATCTCCTAAATCACTGAATACTTGAAACAGGCTAGACAGGAAGGCCGGGGCCGGATTCAAACCCACAACTTCTGTACTGTGAGGCGGACATGCTAACCAGTCGCTTTGTTTATTTGTTTCAATCTAATTTCCCCTGACAATATGACTCCAGGATCTTATTTATTTATTCATCAAAGCCATGGTTAGAAGGTATTTGTGCTGTACCTCCGTCTGTAAAATGGCAGCTCTCTGTTCCTTGGCAGTAAGCGACTCCTTGAGGACTTCGATGTGCTGTTTGCTGTCTGAAAACTGGTTGGTGAGCGTCTCCAACTTCGTCTGCAGGCCGAGCAGCTCAGTGTCCTTCCTAGAGAGGTCCTGCTTCACCTGGTCCATCTGGGCAAAGAGTGAAGATAAAACTCAACAACAGCTCCCTATGAGGTTTGCAAACATGTGGAAACTTTCCTGTTCCAATGGGAAATTCACAAAAGACTTACATTCCTGTTAATACCGATGGAATGTTTCCAACTTTGAAAATTCCCAGAATTGTCGGACTCTCCTCATTTCAAACTGCTAATTTAATTCCCCTCACTAAGAACCTCAGATTTTGTCTGACCTTGCTCTTCATGAACTTGGTGTGGCTGCGGTAAACCTCCATTTGCTTCATCTCCTCCTGACGCTCCTCACAGCTCAGAAGTCCATTCGACTTCATCAAGAGCAGCTCCTCCTCCATGTCCCTGAGGTTTCGTTCCATCGAGTTGATCTTTGCATCCTGGGGGTGATGAAGGTGTTCTAACGCAAGTTGCATGACAGGACGCACAGAATTCGGTTAAAGTACGATTAATGTCAAGTCCTCACCTTCATGTCAATGACTGTTTGTAAAGCCTTCGTTTTGGTGGACTCCGGTGTTCCTTCATATCTGCGATGTAGCTCCTGGAGACAATATTTACTTAATAATTCTGTGTTATTGCAAACCACAATATCCACATAAATTATGCCCTTCAATATTCAATAATATAAAGGTATGGAGGTCCTGATCACATTTTGAGCACTGGAGTCTGACTCACTTAAACACTGTCTCGATTGTCTTATTTTTCTTTTTTTAACTATCCCACTTTTTGTAGGGCTACTGTCTGGTGCAACTGTGGTTCAAACCAAGTGAACAAATAAAATCTTTTTATAATGTATCAGTGGCGCAGCAGAAAATAACGATGCAAACAAATTACATGTAAATATGACAATTAAAAAATATGGAATACTGGTATCAATTAAATGCCTAAACTCAATTAGACATTCTCTGCATTTGAGTAAATAAGTGTGTACAGGAAAAAAATATGGTATGCATCATATGTACTGTCATGGGGAATGCCTGGCACCTTTATTAGTGGAGAAAAAGGTACGTTTATCTCCTGAGATCGGTCGATTAAATGTACTGTATTTCAAAAGGTATAAAAGATTATCCACAATTTGATAATATAGCAGTATTGTTCTGAGTAATAAATGTGGAAGTGCAGTACAGTGTTGAACTTGGCATTACTTCTCTTAATGCAGTTATTTCTCTGTCTCGCTGATCCAATAAACTTTCCAGGTGATGGCGGTGCATCTCTGCATCGGCCAGTCTCCTGGTGCGCTCCTGGTCCTCCTCTGAAGCCTTAGCAGATGGACCTGAACACAGTGCAATGTTGTGGCTATATAAGAAAAATCTAGTGGGCTACAAGCGGCTAATAAGTGAGGAGTGATTTTGAATCATTTAAGCGGATGATGTTTTAAATTAATTGTATAAGTGTAAAACGTACATGCAACGACATGTACGTTTTATGGGTGAAAATATTTTCAGGATTCAGAGCTGAATGCCACAAATCCAGCTTGTCAAATGTGACTCATACGATTTGTTGTTTTGACAAAAGCAACATAGTTTCGCAGCATGAAAGCTGCAAGATGAAAAAGGAGACAAGTGCTTTCCCTTCCCCAGGTGTCCGTAAATATCTTCAATACGTACAAGGACAGGTGCCAGAAATCAGCTTCTTTCACAGTAAACAATCCTTATCTAACGTGGTGCGAAAAAAAAAATGCTCACCCACCTCTGCTTTGCAACATCTCGAGGAGTTTCTTGATGGATTCATCTCGGGCCCCCAGAGTTTGCTTCTGCGTGTCAATTCTCAGCTCCATCTCCTCCAAAGTTTTCCGAAGGAGAAAGAGCTCCTTGGCCTGCCTGTCGTGCTCACAATGCAGTCGCCTAAAGTTCTCCTCGGTCAGTTCTGACGCCAGGGCCAGATCCCGACCTTGGCTTGCAGGGTCTTGCTGGAACAGCTGGTTAAGGTCCCGCTGGATCCTTAGCTCATCCTGGAGCGCCTGCACAGTCATCTGGAGGTGCTGAGGGAGGGGGGAGAAAATTCATCTGATGCAATGGTAGCTCCCAACTTACAGTTCGGCTTGTCACAGTACCACAACAGGCTAACAAAGCTAAAAAAAAGAACAGAATTCTACAAAGAAATCGTGCTTAGGTATTCCTATTCCATTTGACTTGGAAAGCTGACCTCGCATTATTCACACGTGTCACAACTGACCCATCTGCGTAGCAAAATCATTACTATCACCACAAATGTCCACTTTACCCTTTAAGAGGGATCAAATTTAACTCAAATGGTCACACTGTTATTCTTCACAACGTTCCAGATGTTCTTTATGGTCCATCCAAAGAAACCCCCGTGCGTCCAGTGCATACTTGGGAGTGATTCATAAATGTATAAAAAGTGTGGCTGTGTTGGTAATGTATTACGTTGAATGAATGAAAACAGAGGGTAGAACCATCAGAACGTTTTTAGTTCCTTTTTGCGGCCAAATGCATTTGACAAAATGACAGGCCAAACAACAGAAACAGGTATCTTCTTAGACGTAGTAACCGTGAGACAGGAGTGCTTTTTCGCAAAATAAATACAGACATTTAACAAGTTGAGAAAGAAGCGTTTTGAGGAATGGAGCTTTTTTGATAGGTTTGATTCAAGTTGGACTATCATAATGTCAACAACATTAAAAAAAAAAAAAACAACAAAAAAACAAATGATATAATTTATCATGATAGTTTCTGCGAACAGATATTCTAAAAAAATCCATTACAGTGACAAGCATATGCCCATCAGATATAGAAAGGATACGGCAGCAGATGATAAGATAAGAACAATGGACAACTTCTTGAATGTTAAGTAAAGGCCCGATACGTTAAGTCATAACCTGACACAGAGCACTTCACGTATCAATACTCTTGAGTAAGTTACCTGTCTTGTTGAATTGTGTACAAAAGAAAGAACTTTGTGATGACTGGATTGTCTGTTAATCATTTACCAGTCATTATTGCCTAAAAAGACTGGCAGCAATTTGCAGCAAACCTATAAAATTGTTGCATTGACTACGGTGCAGTCGAACATTTGGGTACATGTGTTGGTGCAGCAAAGAAAAAATGTTGGACACATCAGTGCAACCAGTACAAATCGTTAAACTCGAGCCCTGCCTAACCATCCAACAAATGCTTCGAGGGAGGCAATATGAGGAAATGTGGCCCTTTGATCACAACAGCAATAGGATGCTCCAAGCAGTAACGTATGACAGGTGTTACATTGCTCTACATGAGGAAGGCAGGTAGTGAAACCCAATCAGGCCAACATAGCGTTGCGTGGTTTGTGCCATTTGACACGAGGCCGCGTTGCTGTCGTAAAGCAATGTCACAAACTGGTCGAAAACCTGAGTGAGGCTTTTGACAAGGTACAACAAAGAGACATGTTTACCTTCCCTTTCAACCCCCGCTCTCTGTTTCTCATCTCCTGCCCTCGTTGACAACACTCTCTCACATCCTTGTCTCAGTTAATCATATATGTTAATTAAAAAGACAGAGTGTTAAACTAAAACAAAGGCGCTGGTAATGCATTACAAATGGAAAAGGGTGTGTGAATGGATTATTTGCTAAGTGCCTCCAGGAGAAGATAAAAGAGATGCTAAAAAAAACCCACATGGATTTAAGATAAAACATAAAAGTAAACAGGCAGCGGCAACAGACAGCGGTTGTAATTAGAAAAAAAAAATGCCTTGGAGGTGTATGTGTGCCAGCGTAGGAGGTCAACATGTGAAAGCAGAAATCTTTAAATTACAAACACCCCCTGATTAGCCAGCAGCTGCTCTGGCATTGTTGGCATTAGTCCACAGTGATTCTGCGACTCTAGGGGCAAATTACAGAGATCTGCCCTTTCATTAAGGATCCCGGCGCAACAAAGAAGGCACCCTTTTTCAATTATGCTTGGCTCACTCAACAATCGCACTATAAGTTCAGAGACATAACTACCGGTAATCATACTGCGCAGTCATAGCGGCCCTATGAGGGAAACCATAACTATTACATAGCTTGAAAATGAGTTCGATACACCCGATCTGAGATATTTACACAAGCGATGTAGGAAAATTCACCTGAGCTTCGTCTTGAATCACGCGGTATTGTTCCTTCCACACAGAGATCTTCGACACCTCGTCTTTGCGGAGCGCTCGCTCCTTTTTCAGCTCTGGACTCCAAAATGTCTTGATGGAATTCATGGATGAGCTCAGCTTGCTTTCTTTGACTTCCACTTCCCGCCGCAATAATTCATTTTCCCGTAGAACCTAAGACACGCAGAGATCAACACAGTCGGGAAGTGTCAATAATTGCATGTACCGTTCCTTATTTTTTCACCCCACCGTGCAAATTACTTCATTGCACTATTTTGTTTAGAACATTGTAATGTTGTATTTCAGGAACCCCCTGTAACTGATGAACTAACTCCCACTTTTCCCCTTAGTCAATCAAGGCAGTGTTGCCGAGAGATTCAGGAGAGAAATACCTCTTTGAGTTGGGCCTGAAGGTCAAGTATTGTGTTGTCCCTCGCCTGCCTTAAAGAATGGGGTACCGTGGATGCCATGTGGTGGTCCCCAAAAGCCAAAGCCTCGCCTGTCATCAGGCCAACAGGCAGTACCGTGCTCGAAGGCACCGAGGTGGAGATGTTGGGTGTGCTCGCCGCCACCACGCCGCCGCCGCCGCTCCTCGATCCATAGGTCACCCGCTGCCGTCCCATGGTGGTCACGGCCCCACCTGCGCTTTTGGGGAGGTGCTCCCCCATGGCTACCTCATTGTCGCTCAGGTACATCGGTCCAGAGGTGGCATATGCTGCATTGAGGGACTGGATGTTCTCCATCGAAAGTGTCTTGCCCCCTGCACCTCCGGGACCTCCTCCACTGCCCCCAGTGCTGTTAGTGCGACGGTGGCCCATGCGGGGGGAGCGAGGGAGGCGAGGGGAGCGTCCTGATCCCTGATTACTGGCCCCGCCTGCATCCCTGCCTCCACTATGGTTGGCATCTCCTCTGCCAACCGAGCGGGCGCTACCATACATGTTCTGAACAAAATACTCAAAGGAAGCAGCAAAACTAGGGTTGGTAGCTTCAGAAGTGTGCTGATGATCACGCTGATTTGTGCTTGTGATTGTGGTTGCTCAGCTGAAGGCAGAAGGCACAATGTTCATAATGGATGAATTCTCTCCACTTTCACTGGCATGCGGCATATGCAGATATCGCGTTTCCAACAGGAGCTTGCAGATCCGCCGTTGCTAAATGTGACGCCAATCTGCAGAGAATGAAGAGTCCTTTGCTGTAAATGAATGTTTTGTATACATTGTGATTGCACCGACACTCTGTCAACACTCACATCATTAGGTACCACTGCACATCCGTCCATTCATTGCCTGTACCAGTGATTTCCAACCACTGGGAACTCATCCAATTTGACGGGTACTACAATTTTCTCAGCCTGTTGCACCAGCACATAATTTGATCATGGGCGTGCTGGAGTCCAGCTCAGCTGACACTGGGTGCACAATGAACTGGTGGCCAGCCAATCATACAGATAAAGAACAACTCACAATCACATTAACACCAACATACAATTAAAGAGTCTTCCATGAACCTTCCATGCATGTTTTTGGAATTTGGGAACAAACCTAAGTAACTATGTAAAACCCACACAGGCAAGGGGAGAACATAAGCTCCATAAAGGAAGGCCGGAGGCCAGATTTGAACCCACAACCGCTGAACTTTGAGGCAGATGTGTTTGCCATCCATCGAGCCCCAAGTCAGTGACTCCATCTATCATAAATAATATGTGAAGGGCGGAGGTCATTTTGTCACTGGTCTTCAGTCTGCACAGATTGAATGCATCTATGTGCCCCGACCACGGATGCGCCAGAGCAATGAACAACACCAACAGTGAACACCTGCTTTGAGTAGCGCTTGTATGAGGAGATCCACTGGTATTTCCATCCAATATTACAACAAACAACAAGAAAAGGGGCTGTTTGGTGTTGTTGTTTTTTTTTGTTTTTTTTCACTCTTACAACATTTAAATTAGAAATCTGCAAACATAATACACATGCAGCTTGTTAATTGATCGGGATGCATGGACCAGTGCGCCTGCATAGATCTTATCTTAAATGGAATGAATAAAAAGTTGCACGCAACAGCAGTCCACAGGCAAGTCCAAAGCGGTTGGCATAGGTACAATGCAGAAACTACAGAACACTGAAAAAGGAGGTGACTTTGAACCACAATGTCTAATATCGTGCCTAAATTGGAGGGATCATTAAAAGTGATACACTCGCACAAAAGTGAGTCGATGAAATTTTTACACAGACACCAGGAAAAAAAAGTCGCATAGAGAACCATTATAGTTGAAGGCTGAAACCCAGCCTGATCTGTAAAAAAAAAATGTGTGTGTGTGTGTGTGTGTGTGTGTGTGTGTGTGTGTGTGTGTGTGTGTACTACATAAATTAAATAAATCATTCAAAATCGAGGAAGATATTTTGCATAGGTTTTGGGAAAAAAAAAGTTTTGTCACATTGTGTAGACATTTACCTGTACCAGTATTTAGGGATATGAAAAAGGATGTACTTTCATTCCAATAGGATATTTAATGTAAACCTCTAATATTGACTTCTTTTTTTTTTAACCAGACCTGATGTTTGTGCAACTTTAATGAGTTTTCACACATGTTTAGACACTCATCTGGATAGATAGATATAGATAGACAGATAGATAGATAGATAGATAGATAGATAGATAGAATCAAGAACAAAAATTGTATTATGCAACAATCTTGTTATTGTCTTCAGCATGAGCTCCTGCAGGCAATGTGGTAAAAGAGAATGTGCTTTGATTGTCGCTTTTGTTGCCTAAATGTCAACCACCGAGTAACCCTCACAGCCTGCGTGGCCTTGCTAACTGGCTAACGTTTTGTCAACCCACCGGCTAACGGTGACGGCTAAACGTTTTCAACAAGGAATATTTCGTTATTTGGGAAAAAAAAAATTAGCTCGCCTTATGTTTGTGCGTGTTCAAAATTGGTTTGTATAATAACGATGATAAGCGGTAAGGGCAAAATGTGTTGAGCGACGTTTACGTGTAAACTAGAAAGGGAAGGACGGAAAAGGGGGACTGTCCACAGTGGACGAGGGGGGAGAAAAAAAAACTCCCTCACAGAACAAATGGATAAAGAGATAAACACTTGTCTGTCTGTCATGTAATTAGACAGCGTTATCTATCCAAAGGCAACACACGATCAAAATGTCAAAAGCGGAACGGGGCTTTTTTTTCACATTCCCAAACGACACCCAACACGGGTCCGCCGTGGTGGAGACACCCTTGTCGTTCTAATCGAACCATTTTCCTCAGCAGCGGTGTATTATTTTGGACACGCTGGTTTGTCATATAAGGGGTTTTACATACCTGTCATTCCCGTCAACATATGTTCAATGTGACATATGGAGGCTGGTATCTTCCATGTACGTGGTCAAGCCAGCAGAAGCTCTCTTCTTTTTTTCACCTCGCTACTAACACAATAGCCAGTGGTGAAAACCTCTGCAATAAACTACCTTTTTGTCGTCTGTTAGCATCTATAATATGCTGGGTGACGCTAAACAATTACACAATAGACATTCAATGGCAACATTATTGGATTTTAGATGCTATAGTAGCTCGACAGCTGCCTATCAGATTTTGCCATCTTTTTTGCCAACAGCTCACGAGAGCCAGCAAGGGCGCTTCAGTGACGTCAGCAAACCTCCCATGCGCGTTCCCGACACACTATCCTCGCCACGCTGGTGTTTCAACTGCGTGGTCACGAGAGGGAGTCAGCAACATTCGGTTCACAGTTTTTATTTATGCTATTTTTGCATTCGGCACAGTGGAGTAGATGACGTAGGGTTAGTGGGTTTTGTAAACCCATGGGCCGTCTTATGTTCATTTTTAATGCAATGTTGCACGGTAGGTATGTGTTGCAAGATAGCACGGAGTGTAACGTCTGAATTGGGAGTGGGGGGGCAATATGAGCACCCCCCGCCCCCACTCAATTTGAACCGATCCGTGCGTCTGTTGAATGTGATTGGCTCAGCCGCTCACGGAGACCGTTATTTTTATGGGGGGAAAAAAGCAAGGGAGAGGACATTTGCAATTGCGAAGATGCTTAAAAGACAGAAACCACCAGAAAAGGAGATGTGTGGTGCAGATAAGAAAAAAAAAGGGTAATTGAGGATGCGGCCAAATGCACAAAACTGACAGGTCTCTTCTATCATGGTGGAAGCAGCCCGGCCAGGGACGACACGGGTCCGAGCAGCAGCACGGCCACAGCAGGTAAACAGGCACTGTCTGCTGTAACACGACGCTGTCATGATCTCGCACTTGAGACTCGGGTTGTCACAAGAACCGACATGAATCTGAACGTGACTGAACCTGGATCCGCTACAGCTTCTTGGTGTGGCCAAAGCCACAGTTGAAGCACATGAGCATGACGCGCCATGTATCTTTCACCGGTCAGTTGTCATGGGAACTAGACGCTCTGACGATGGTGCGCATTTAGACCATAATACATCCATGGTTTGGAGCAGAGACAAAACACACGCGTGTGAATATATAAAACAGAGCTGAAGAATGAAACAATATGTTTACACGAGTCAGTGGAAGTCAAGCCACACACAGACAAACAACCATTCGCACTCCAGCCACACTTTGGGACAATTTAGTGTACAATCAACCTGCCATGCATATTTTTGGAATGTGGGAAGAAAACGGAGTACCCAAAGAAAACCCACGCAATCATGGAGAGAACATGCAAATGCCACACCGGAAGGCCATGGCCGGATTCGAACCCATGACCTCTGCACTGTGAGGCAGATGAGCTACTACTGTGCCCCACTGGCTCATTCATTCAAATCAAAAATCAAACCAGTCAGAGACTATAAGAGACATTTTTGTTACTGCAAAGAGCCACATCATACACATGGGCACACATAAACACATTAACATCACCCCATCCCTTCTTCACACACACACACACACACACACACACACACACACACACACACACACACACACACTCTCACACACACACACACACTTTCTCAGTCTTTTTTGGCACCTGTCTGAGCCTTTTGGGAACGTGTTTCAGCCACAAAATTCGAGGTTAACGATTATTTGCTAAAACAATAAAGTTTATCAAGTTGAACATGAAATATCTTGGCTTTGTAGTTTTTCATTTTCATTTTCAAAAAGATCAGTGATCCCTGACTCATGCTTACTACGTTGCTGAATTGTATTTTAATGTTGGTCATCATGGTGAAAAATAATTTTTGAGACGGTTCTTGGGGTAAAATGTTGCTTGTTATATGCTTTTGTACACCATTGACGTTTGGTGAACCGTGAAGCCTATTTTATTAAACATCACCACCAGAGAGCAGTGTTCAACTAAAAATAAACGCCCTTTATATTTATTTATTTATCTATTTGGCTGCGTTCTGTCACTGTCATGTCGATTCTGCAAGTATTGTGGATGTAGTATCTACGTATTAAATCGCCCTGCTCTTGTTTGTGATTCGTATTTTCTGCTGGAACTATTTACACCTACACATTGAGTTGCATTTTTATGTATGACAAGTGTTATGGAAATAAAATTTGATTGCTTGACTGAGTCATCCGGACATACTCTCTCTTTGCCTGTAGTTTTCTATCAACGTATTTACAGTACTTTTTGTGCCTGAAACAGCTTCAGGCACAATTATGATAATCTGGTATGTATTATTATCAATGTACAAATGTATGTTGTGAAATATTACAGCTTTTGCGAGACTAGGCCGACAGAAGCATTAAATGTGAGTCATTGGGTGTGTGTTTGTGTAAGTGTGTTTATTTATTTATTTTTTTGTAATCATCATTTTGTATGGGACGGCCCGGTAGTCCAGTGGTTAGCACGTCGGCTTCACAGTGCAGGGGTTCGTGCACAAAACTGACAGGTCTCTTCTATCATGGTGGAAGCAGCCCGGCCAGGGACGACACGGGTCCGAGCAGCAGCACGGCCACAGCAGGTAAACAGGCACTGTCTGCTGTAACACGACGCTGTCATGATCTCGCACTTGAGACTCGGGTTGTCACAAGAACCGACATGAATCTGAACGTGACTGAACCTGGATCCGCTACAGCTTCTTGGTGTGGCCAAAGCCACAGTTGAAGCACATGAGCATGACGCGCCATGTATCTTTCACCGGTCAGTTGTCATGGGAACTAGACGCTCTGACGATGGTGCGCATTTAGACCATAATACATCCATGGTTTGGAGCAGAGACAAAACACACGCGTGTGAATATATAAAACAGAGCTGAAGAATGAAACAATATGTTTACACGAGTCAGTGGAAGTCAAGCCACACATAGACAAACAACCATTCGCACTCCAGCCACACTTTGGGACAATTTAGTGTACAATCAACCTGCCATGCATATTTTTGGAATGTGGGAAGAAAACGGAGTACCCAAAGAAAACCCACGCAATCATGGAGAGAACATGCAAATGCCACACCGGAAGGCCATGGCCGGATTCGAACCCATGACCTCTGCACTGTGAGGCAGATGAGCTACTACTGTGCCCCACTGGCTCATTCATTCAAATCAAAAATCAAACCAGTCAGAGACTATAAGAGACATTTTTGTTACTGCAAAGAGCCACATCATACACATGGGCACACATAAACACATTAACATCACCCCATCCCTTCTTCACACACACACACACACACACACACACACACACACGCACACACACACACACACACTTTCTCAGTCTTTTTTGGCACCTGTCTGAGCCTTTTGGGAACGTGTTTCAGCCACAAAATTCGAGGTTAACGATTATTTGCTAAAACAATAAAGTTTATCAAGTTGAACATGAAATATCTTGGCTTTGTAGTTTTTCATTTTCATTTTCAAAAAGATCAGTGATCCCTGACTCATGCTTACTACGTTGCTGAATTGTATTTTAATGTTGGTCATCATGGTGAAAAATAATTTTTGAGACGGTTCTTGGGGTAAAATGTTGCTTGTTATATGCTTTTGTACACCATTGACGTTTGGTGAACCGTGAAGCCTATTTTATTAAACATCACCACCAGAGAGCAGTGTTCAACTAAAAATAAACGCCCTTTATATTTATTTATTTATCTATTTGGCTGCGTTCTGTCACTGTCATGTCGATTCTGCAAGTATTGTGGATGTAGTATCTACGTATTAAATCGCCCTGCTCTTGTTTGTGATTCGTATTTTCTGCTGGAACTATTTACACCTACACATTGAGTTGCATTTTTATGTATGACAAGTGTTATGGAAATAAAATTTGATTGCTTGACTGAGTCATCCGGACATACTCTCTCTTTGCCTGTAGTTTTCTATCAACGTATTTACAGTACTTTTTGTGCCTGAAACAGCTTCAGGCACAATTATGATAATCTGGTATGTATTATTATCAATGTACAAATGTATGTTGTGAAATATTACAGCTTTTGCGAGACTAGGCCGACAGAAGCATTAAATGTGAGTCATTGGGTGTGTGTTTGTGTAAGTGAGTTTATTTATTTATTTTTTTGTAATCATCATTTTGTATGGGACGGCCCGGTAGGCCAGTGGTTAGCACGTCGGCTTCACAGTGCAGAGGTACGGGGTTCAATTCCAGCTCGGGCCTTCCTGTGAGGAATTTGCATGTTCTCCCCGTGCTTGCGTGGATTTTCTCCGGGTCCTCCGGTTTCCTCCCACATTCCAAAAACATGCATGGCAGGCTGATTGGACACTCCAAATTGTCCCTAGGTGTGAGTGTGAGTGTGAGTGCGAATGGTTGTTTGTTTCTGTGTACCCTGCAATTCGCTAGCAACCGGTTCAGGGTGTCCCCCGCCTACTGCCCGAAGACAGCTGGGATGGGCTCCAGCACCCCCGCGACCCTAGTCAGGATAAAGGTTCGGAAAATGAATGAATGAATTATTTTGTATGTGTAGAAAGGACTGACATTTCGATGATGAATTTCAAAGGTATATCATTTAAAGCAATAAATCAAATAAAAAATTATAAGATCACATCCCCCAGTCTCCCAATATTTTCTGTCCAATGTGCAATCAATTCCGATTACATGCATTTTTAGCTACTGAATCGAAAACCACTTCTTTGAAATTCTGATCTAATTTCTTTTAACAAACTTGTTCAACATAGAAAATCAAAATGTGAATATAGAAAATGAGAACGTGTAAAACGATGCCCCGTTACTTAGGACGTACGAACACGTTTTGATGGAATGTCACTCTTGCTTCAAATTCGAATTTGGAAGCGCGGTGGTTATGAGGTCATTGGGCTCTCACGCATGCGCAGACGCAAACCTCGTTTCTTCGTCAATGCGAAGGAACTGCGTTGCTGGGGGATTTTTGGGACCCCCCCAAAATGTCCTTATTTGTCGACACACTGGACGCTCTTCTGTCGATGATACTCGGATACCGACGATGTACTCATTTTTAGACGACTTCTGCTGCGAGGAGCATTTAAACTACGGTGAATAGCAGTTGTGTTGTGGATGTGAGGTAGGTCACCGTTTGTCTCCAGGTTCGTAAAGCCGAACAAGGTTATCAGCTAAGTGGATACTGTAGAAATGTAACAAAATATTGTATTTTTGTTTTGTAAATTTCAAATAGAGCCTACGTTGAAACGTTCTGGGGTGAGGAGGTGGGGTGCGGTGGTGGTAGGTGAGGGGGCGGGTCTAGCTCTTC